GCTGGAGTTCAGCCCCTCCGAGGTGGAGCGCCTGCGCAGGAAGGCGGCTGCGGGGCAGGGCTCCGCCGCCTCGCCCTTCTCCTTCAAGCTGCCCGGCTTTGGAGGCTGAGGCGGTGGGGATGTCGAGGCGACCGCCCACCTCCCCGCTCCCCGTCCGTTGTGCTGTTGGTTGAGAGTTTTTACGGCTGCTGCCGTGTTGGGCGCCTGCTGCTTGTTGCTGTGAACTTGTTGGATGGCTATCGATCCGTTTGCAAGGCTGGTTGTGACCGCTGCTCTGCGTCAAGATCAGGGGAGAGGGGGAGGCAGTGGCCCCGACCGCGCCTTGTGCGTCGCTGGTCCAGCCAGGGGGCTGGGCGCCTCTTGAACTGCCTGGCCGCCTTGCAATCGATTCAAGTCCCCCCTGGTGATCCCCTGCCATCGGGTGATTTCGAGGAGGCTGGATTTCAAGGAGAGGTCAAGGGCTGCTCCCCTGCTGTGCTGTGGAGGTTCACAGCAGGGCTCCCGCTTTAACGGCCCCCAAACCGCCCAACTAACCCACAGCGCCTACTTAAACACCATCAGCACAAACTGCGGATGCTAGCGAGGCTTGGGTGACGGTCAGCGCACAGAGATGGAGACGAGCGACGCGGAGGCGTGCCCACAACTGAACCCGCAGGGCAGCCTGGAGCAGCCTGAGACCGCGCGGCACCCGGATGGGCGGCCTGCCAATGAGGCGGAGGCGTTCAACGCCCCTACCCCCGACCGGGTGCGCGCGAATGTCCGATGGCAGCGAAACTGTTGCCTCCTGCGGGGCGCCGCGGACCCTCTGACGCCCCTAATCGCCTTCCTGCCAATCAGGATGACGAAGGCAAGCGTAGGAGGTTCTCGTTCGAGACCTCACGGGAGTTGGCGGCGGTGGTGGCGGCAGGCGCCGACTGCTCCTCCAGCACAGGCCATGACTCGGCTGCCTCCACCTCCAGCAGAGCGACGGCAACCAGCCAGGAGGAGCCGCCTCCCGTGAGCCAGGGTGTGGATTCGATCCTGCGGTCCTACCTGGCCAGCTGGGGACAGCGCCTGGTGCACCTGCAGCCAAAGGTGAGCGGGCGGGCTGCGGCGGCAGAGGCGGCGGGTATTGCCGATACACCTGCTGAACGCACCCCCACACCTCAACCAATCGCCGTGCGCTTGCCAGGATGCACGGGCCGCCAGCGGTGCTGCCGTACGGTCGCCAGACCGGCTGCCGACCGCCGATCGCCTGTGTCCTGCCCTCTGCGACTGCTGCAGGTGTACATGACTGAGCACCTGAACGAATGTGGGCTGCACCTGTTCAAGTGCCTGCGCCAGCTGCAGGTGCAGGCCTGCTGCGAGGGAAAGTTCCCCATTCAGGTGCGCCGCGGCTGCGGTAGGCGGCGGCGGGAGTGGGGGGGCGGTTGACCGCGCTGCCAGCCCAGTGCTCAACAGCTGCGGCTGGGCAGCGCCTCCATGCGTGCCGCCAGCAGCGGCATCAGCTGGGCAGGGCGTCCAGCGCACCAGGCTTTGACCGATCAACTGCCGTCGCTGAATCCCTAACTCCAACTTGCGCCATTGGTACTGCCTTTCGTACTGCCTGCAGTACCTCTCCAATCAGCAGCTGCTCATCCACGACCTCGTGGCCTGCTGGTGGGTGGCCCTCAAGCACTGCTCCGTGCGCACAGCAGTGCCCAACAGGTGGGCAGCCAGGGAAGGAAGGGGAGGCGGGCGGGCGCCAGGGGCCTGGCGGGGACCTGCCTGCCTGGAGTGCCGGCATGGCCCCGAGGCTGCCGCTGCCTTTGCAGCTGCCCCCACACCCCCTTCCGCACCACTGCATCCTCTGCTGGGCGAGGCGTGCGCTGACAAGCCAGGCCTCTGGGCTGCCACCTGCAGGACGCTCATGTGCCGAGCCACCAGCTCCAGCCCCGAGCTGCTTGTTGACCGCGAGCTGGCGATGCTCATCGCCATTGACTGGGAGGTGCAGGCTGTTCTGAAGCAGGCCGGCCTGGTGCTGTGACGGGCGCGCCGCGCCCAACAACACCAGCACCCACCCGCCCGATGGCAGCCCACGCCGCTGGCGCCCGGCTGCTGCTGCACAAGCCGCGGCAGTGGGCGGCTGGCGTGCGACTGGCGCGCGTGCCTGCCGCCCGTGCTGAC